TAGGGATAGACCGATATGGATTTTTTAGGGCCGATGCCGATACCGATTTTTTTCCATCACCCTTAGCCGATGACCGATTATGGACTGCCGATTTTCTTGAGCCGATATTTGGGGCCGATACTGCTTTTGCTCCCTCAATTTACATCAAAAAAATGACACAATGATAACAAATATTACAGGTCTCAAGTTTAAAATAAGAAACATTTATTGAACAGTAAAAAATATTCAACGGCTTTGTTCAACTTTACCACACATACTTTCAAATGAACAAAAAGTGTTTGGTGCTTTTAATTATTCAAGTAATGTCTAAGAAATAAAATAAAAAATATTTTAATTTAAGCATAAATAAAACAACAACTACTGTACACAGTAGGATTCAGCTTTGTTCAACTTTACCACACATACTTTCAAATGAAAAAAAGTGTTTGGTGCTTTTAATTACTCAAGTAATGTCTATAAAATAAAATAAAACAAATATTTAGGCATCATTAAAACAATTGAAGTATTGCACACATTAGTAACGAACAAGCAGCATAGTGTGCACACTGCACAATACTTAATGTTAAAGTGCAAATGGCTCTCCTAAGATAAGGAAAGTGTAAACAGCAATACAAAACAAAACAAAAAACAACATAAAAAGAAATAAAGAATTGTGCATAATATGCACTTTGGCCCACTTCTAATACTCTTTAGCTACCCCACACATCCCTCACTGAAAGTTCTTAATAATCCCAGTTTAGGAGCTGTAGGTTATAGTGGAGGAAACAGAGGCGCTCTGCATTCTCTCCTGTCAGCCTGTACCTCTTCTTCTCATATATCTGGCTGACCTCACTGAATACCCTCTCACTGGGAACAGAGGAGGGGGGTGGACTGAGAAACTTTCTGGCAAGTGGTGCTAGAAGGTGCAATCGGGATGCATTCTGTTTCCACCATTCAAGTGGCTGGCCCTTCTGCCTGTCGATCAGCGGCTCCCTTAAGTACTGATCCAGCTGCTGAGTAAACTGCTGCTCCTCCTCATCAGTCTCGTCTGGGGTTGGTCCATGTGCCCCAGGAAGGCTGGCATACATCTGCTCAAGCATGTCTGATGGACCAGTGACTTCCTCCTCTTCTTCCTCTGCCCTTTTCCGTTTTGGATCTTCTTGGCCTTGACCTTCTGAGGAAGCACTTTTCTGTTTTGCAGCCTCAGACAGAGTGGCATGCTCTTCCTTGATCCAGTCCTTTGTATTCCTCAGTGTACCAGGAGCCAAGGCATGACCCTTGTAACAAGGATCTAGCAGTGTTGCAAGGACCAAGCATCTTGTTTTCTCTGCCTTCTCAAATCTGGCCTTTAGGCTGTTCAGCATAGTCTCTCGGAGTGTTCCGATTCCTCTTGTTTTGGCACCTTCAGCTTCCAGCAACATTTTCAGCACTGTGATGCAGGGAATGATGCATGAAATTGTGGAGTCAGATCTACTCATTTCGAGTGTAATCTGTTCAAGTGGGCTCTGTGTGGCAATCAGATTGTCCACAAGAGCCCACTGATCTGCTGTAAAGACAGATATTTTTCCATGTTCCCCTGCATATACATTAAGTGCCCGCTTCTGCTCCAGCATGCTCTCCAACATGTGAAGAGTGGAGTTCCAGCGTGTTGGCACCGACTGGATTATTGTGTGCTGGGGGAGGTCAAGCTCTTTTTGAATGTTCTTCAAACGCTGTTTGGCCAGCACTGAATGGTTAAAATGGGTAGCAGAAGATTTCAATTTGGCAACGATGTCTGCCACTGCTCGCTGGCTGCTGATCCCATCGTTCACCACCAGCTGAAGTGTGTGAGCACTGCAGCTGAGATCAGGTAGTTCGGCGAGCCTCATCCCTTTGATCATGTTGGCACCACTATCACGAAGCACAAGTACAACTCTCTCTGTTTCGATGTCCCAATGCTTCAGCAGACTGAGGAACATATCGCTTATGTATTCACCTGTGTGAGAGCCATCCATGGCTTTAACATTGAGGACAATTTGTTTCCTTTGCCAATCTTTGTCAATGAAATGACAGGTCAGGCTTATAAGGGATTCTGTCTCCCCAGACCAACAGTCCGTTGTAAATGCCAAATAAGGACCTGCATTGTCCAACGTGACCACCTCCTTGATTTTGTTCTCTACCTTAGTGTGTACATCTTCAAAAAGGTCAGTGTAATAATACTTGTCATTTTTAAGGGAGTATCTGGGCTCCAGCAATGCCACCAACCTTTTAAAACCAACACCAGAGACAACTGTAAATGGTTGATTGTCTGTGGCAATCATCTCAACTATGGCAAGATCCACCTTTTTTGACCTGGTGTCAGAATTAGGCCATTTCCTTTGGGCATCGAACATCTGTACAACAGTAGGCTGTGTAGAACTGGCTGCTGCTCCTCTTTTATCCCTTTCTTTTACTGCTTCATTGTAGGCCTCAAGGTGGTGACGTTTCAGGTGGCTCCACATGTTTGAGGTATTTTTACCTTTTCCTTTTTCAGCCCCCATGCTCACCGATGAGTTGCATATTGCACACCGAGCCTTCCCTGAAGTGGGCTCAGTGAAGTGTTGCCACACTGGATTTTTGCGTTCAGCCATCTCTATAAAGAATAAATAAAAACACAGATTAGTATCAATCAGTATCAATCTTTTTGCATCATCTTACATTCATATCACCCAATATCATCACCCTTTCATCAATATCTACAACACAGCCTTGATGATGCATTGCTTGCTGACATATTAAAAGACAGGTATAATCTACTCATCGCAAAATGTCCTATGTCACACATTTAAATAGTTTAAGAGAAAACAATAAACCTGAAAAGTTGTCATTGACATAAAGTTTTGTGGCACTGAAAATACAGCTCAAGTTCAGTTCATGTGAACAGAGCAAAGCGCTTGGTGTATCTGAGACATAATGTTCACTCTCTGAAGAGTAGTACAGTTGAAGAGTGAGCTGTCCGTGAGCTGGAGAGGTGCACGGACTATGTTGACTGTTAAAAAAAAAAAAAAAAGAATGCATACCAAGTGCTTCAGCCTCTGCTGTGAGCAAGCTGGTCCTTTCAATGATTTTTCAAAAGGCATTTATGAGGTTCAATTTAAAATGTAGACGTGCTGGTAGGATCAATGATGAGGCAGTTTTCTTAACAGTCTCCAACTGAGAATTTCTAAATAGAAATGTGGCCTCAATTGTACTCAGGCCATAAAAGGTAAGACACGGTACATTATTTCTTTTCAACAGTAGGTTGCTTTCCTATTGCAAGTGACTAATATGTACTGTAGGTCTATTGTTGGCTGTAAGCACACATTATATTCATTGTATAGCATCCATTTTCACATAAAAGGCAATAAGTGTGGTATAAGATAGATCTATTAGATTATATCTAAACCCACTTAACCTCTTTTAGGTTCAGGATGCAGGAGGCAGTCTTCTATTAATCTGAAGATCAGTTGTTTGATCCCTGGCTCCTCCAGTCTGAATGTCAAAGTACGCTTGGGAAAGATATTGAACCCTGAATCACGTGAGTGGTTGTGAATGTTTGATGAGCAGGGGGCACCTTGTATGGTAGCCTCTGCCATGTGACATGTAGTGTAAAAGTACTTTGAGGGATTGGAAGACTAGGTGCTAAACAAATGCAAGTCCATTTACCATCAGAATGCAAGTCCTTATTATGCATTATACGTCTTTATTGGGTAATTTAAAGCAGAGGAAGTAAGACTGTCTGGTAATCCAGATTAGTACTTGTGCGATAAGGAATTACGAGAAGCCTAAGTGTGTACTGCTGAGGCTACACTGTAGCTGTTGTGTAGCAATAAGTGCAACTAATAGTGATAGTTGTTTTACATGTTTGGAGACAAACGGGAATTCTGTTACGTCAGCATGACATTTTATTCCTCCTAAAGTCTGAAAGATTAAACTGCAAAGGGAAAGGGCACAGGCCATGCTGAGTTAAACCATTCTTGGGGTCTTGGCCTAATCTTTTCCAGGAGCCCTGTTCCACAATGCAATTACCCAGCATCACAGCAGCATGTTTGGTCAGGATTAAATACAAATCTCATCAACACAGAGCTACAAAGTCCCCAATTTAGCAAACTCAACCAACTTTAAGTAAACAATTTTCAACGGCTGAATGCATCTGTGAGTCCAAACACACATCCAAAGACAGCTATGAGAGCTGCAACTTAATGGCAGATTTATGGCCATGCCAGCAGTGTACCTCTATATGGGAATGTATATCCACCCTTTTGTCCAGACTCAAATATCTCAACAACTTTTAAATGGATTACCATGAAATTTTGTAGAGATAATCATGGAAATCATGGAATCATACTAACATCAGTGATCCCCTGACTTTTTCTTTAAATGTCCAGGGTGCAGGATTTGGGGGGATTTACTGGCAGAGATAGAATAAAATACAAGTATGTTTTTTGTTTAGTGTATAATCACCTGATAATGTTTTCATCACCTTAGAATGAACCATTTAGATCTACATAGGGAGCAGGTCCTCATCCACGAAGATTGCCATGTTGCACTGTCATGTTTCTTCAGTAGCCCAGAACAAACAAACCAAACACTGGTTCTTGATAGGGCTATTCACAGGGCTGGGCTACAAGATCATCTACGATGCTCCAAACAGGGTAGAAGCAACACAAATTTGTAACTGGAAACTGCTGAAATGGGCCTATTTTTTTTAAACACAGTATTTTTATAAGTATAAGTATTTTTTTAGACATTATTCCTATTTTTACTTCTGTAGGACCTGGACCTTCCATGGTTTTGTGTCTAAGTGACTAATGAAATTGATTTTTGAAACTGGTCCAATATTGAGCGAGAGTGCTGCAGCCAGTAGTGTTGATCGGGCCTGCAATTCAATTCTCCAGGGCAATAACACACCGTCAACATACGTCTAATAAAACTGCTTGTTTTTGCCATTCACAGGCTCAGATTTTTATTGTAAGTGTATGACAACATTATAAAAAGGATCCTACAGAGAAATAAAACATCCTGACTTAACTTTTGCTTGATCTGCTCTGTTTGTTATTGTGTCTAATCACGTCTTGCATCAAGTCTTGCAAGTTGAGTTGCTGCAGGAAGATAATAAACGATCAAACAAAAGGCGAGGACAAATATTTTATTTCTCTATAGGGACCCTCTCAGTAAGGTTGTCAGAAACTTATGCTAACAATCTGAGTCTGTCAGTAGCAAAAAAAGACTCTTGTGGATGTACATTGATGATGCCCTATGTGAAAGATGTTCTTTTACTATGTTTTAGTTATATTGTATGGTATTGTATTTTGTCAAGCTTTTTATAACTCTGATTTCAAAAGATGCCATAGAAATAAAGTTTATTGTTATTATGATTATAGTTATGATGATGGCGATGATTATTATTAAGGGTTCAAGCCTGAAGGGATGAAACCCTATTGTTTTTGTGCTGTTTTTGTTATTTTTATTCTTATTAAGAAATGTTTTCGCAAATCTCCATAAGACGGTACGTCTTAACAACAGGCAGTTTTTTTATTTACCAATGATTGGACGTAAGGCAGCATGGTGGTGTGGTGGTTAGCGCTGTTGCCTCACAGCAAGAGGGTTTCTGGTTCGATCCTGGGTGTGGGAGCCCTTCTGTGTGGAGTTTGCATGTTCTCCCCGTGTCAGCGTGGGTTTTCTCCAGGTAGTCTGGCTTCCTCCATGCAGCTTGGGAACACGTTAATTGGTGACTCTAAATTGTCCGTAGGTGTGAGTGTGAGTGTGAATGGTTGTCTGTCTCTAAGTGTCAGCCCTGTGATAGTCTGGCGACCTGTCCAGGGTGTACCCCACCTCTCGTCTGATGTCAGCTGGGATAGGCTCCAGCCCCCTCGCGACCCTCAAGAGGATAAGCGGTTAGAAAATGCTCAAGAAATATAATGCCAACCAGCCAGATGGTGACGCTATCACGGGTTACATCTGTAACAGGAAACCGATGGAATTGGGAGCCGGCGATGTTTTTATTCCCACAGCTGGGGAAATCACAAGTTCGCACCATTTTGGTATTCCTCTGTTTACCTACAGCAGCTGACAAGGGTGTGTCGTGAGCCTGAGCCGGTGTTCGCGCTGTAGTAGTAGGTATATATAGGGCTAGTACATATTTTTCCTCACTAATAATAGCCTACTGGTTCTCTGTTGGAAACAGCCGATGAAGTTTTCGTTAGCCTTTGCTATCCTGCGCACCTGCACGGCGTGGTGATGAACTGTCTTATTGATTTCTATTGACGTGCTCTCTTGCGGGCCTGCACGGCGGAGTGATACTGGCCAGAAAATAGTCCCAATTGATAGCAAAGTCTGACGTAATGCGGGGATGTTTTAAAATTATTGAAATAGTCTAACAAAACACATGCATACTTTTTTGTCGCTTAAAACCTTTTGGTTACGTGTCTCCCGTACATCTTCAGAACTACTTTTTCTCTGGTAAGTTATGGGCGATTTCTCAGAGCAGGAGGCTCGTTGAGAGTAGTGACAACGTCAAATCAGAGCTACAGATGGTCAGCGTTTCACACAACTTCATGTCCAAAAACCTGAACTATCACTTTAAGAACCATAAAAGTATGCCGGAATAAAGTATCCGCCATACATGCTCTGCCTTGTCTCAGACCATTAGTCCAATCATGATGAACAGACATTGCTGATCTAAAGTTATCAAAGGAATTTTGATCCATCAATCCGTTTTAAAGTTGTGCATTTTCAAACATTTGTCTTTAAGTTCAATTTTACATACATACACTGTTCAAAAATTGCTTAAGCAGTAGTAACCACACTTAATGCACGTGTGAATGCTTCGTCCAAGTTTCACTGAGCAGTCTTGAGATTCTGCCACTAGAGGGTGCCACAAATGCAAAAGTTTCTATCTTATAATCAGCCACAGTGGTTTGTATGCAACTCAGTTTGCACCCTCTTAAGTCATGTCTCAGTGGATTCATAAAATTTGAAAATGATTGCTTTAAGATTGCTGTAAGAAGGTGTGGCTTATTACTGTAAAACAAAATTTTGAGACATTTCACATTCACAATAAAGCACTAGTATGTTCTACAGAGCTGAGTTTTTTCAGCACATTCACTGAATTGTGACAGAGGTTTGTCTCACTGCAACCTATCGTCAATTCAGAAGTCCATCACTCTATATTTTTAAGAATATGCAAAATAAATTAATATCTGTCTCTCCAAATGGTGTTCAGATCGGTTTAACTGTTAGCCCAAAGTGATATTCAGTATCTTGATGCTAGTAGTACTGTATGCACAACATTTTCTATTTTATCTAATTTGTAACCACGTCACCAAAATATTTGAAAATGTACAAGAAAGCAGCATAATGATGATTTTTTTTTTTTATCATAAATGCTTTGACCATTATTGATATCTTTGCATTTTGAAGATGACCAATGAACTGGGGGGGGGGTGAAGTGTTTTGGAACATTCTGCTCTTATTATCTTGCCCCACTGACGGTTGTTCAGTCTAAGTACATATTCTGGTCTTCTGATCATCATTTTTCACCGACACAGCATGTGAGTGTATGTGCTGCTAGTTAGAGCAAGCAATTCTGAGACTTTGAGAATAATGTAAA